CTCTTACCCCAAGGACGTCAAGGTCTTCAACGGCAAGTCATACCTCCTCGAGGAGAGTATCGCCGGTGACTACGCCTTCGTCAAGGCCTACAAGGCCGACAAGCTCGGAAACTGCCAGTTCCGCCTGGCCGCCAACAACTTCAACGGTGCCATGGGCCGCAACGCCAAGATGACCATTGTTGAAGCCGAGCACATTGTCGAGCCTGGCGAAATCTCCCCCGAGGCCGTCCACCTGCCTGGCATCTACGTCAAGCGCGTCATTCAGAGCACCACCCCGAAGAACATTGAGAAGTACACCTTCGCCAAGGACCCCAACGACGCCGATGCCAAGAAGGCCCTCGGCACTGGTGACACCGCCGCCAAGCGCGAGCTCATCGTTCGCCGTGCCGCCAAGGAGTTCAAGAACGGCATGTACGCCAACCTGGGTATCGGCATGCCCATGCTCGCACCCGGCTTTGTCGGCCCTGAGGTCGAGGTTCAACTCCAGTCCGAGAACGGCATCCTCGGTCTCGGCCCCTACCCCACCAAGGGCAACGAGGACGCCGACCTGATCAACGCCGGCAAGGAGACCGTTACCCTCAAGCCCGGTGCCGCCGTCTTCGGCAGCGAGGAGAGCTTCGGCATGATCCGCAGCGGCCGCATCAACCTCACCATCCTCGGTGCCATGCAGGTCAGCGCCAACGGTGATCTCGCCAACTGGATGTTGCCCGGCAAGGTCAAGGGCTTCGGCGGTGCCATGGATCTCGTCAGCAACCCCAGCGCGACCAAGGTCGTTGTGACCATGGAGCACACCGACAAGAAGGGCAACGCCAAGATTGTCAAGCAGTGCGCTTTCCCCTTGACTGGCAGAGCCTGCGTGTCAAGAATCATTACGGAATTGGTAAGTCTCTTTATACCTCCTTTCTACCCTAGCTCCTATGGGATGATGACATGATACTAACGTGGTGTGCAGGGTGTCTTTGACGTCGACTTCGCCAACGGACTGACCCTCATCGAGATTGCGGACGGAGTTACGGTGGATGAGATCAAGAGCAAGACCGAGGCGCCCTTCACCGTCGCCGACGACCTGAAGCCCATGTTGTAAAAGGAGCATATTGTACGAGGGAGATATTCTTGGAGAAAGAATGAATCTGTGGAGGAGGTATATACCCGTCACGATGGGTACGCCATTGTCATCATCTAGAGTACGGCGTCAAAGCTTAGGGATCAAAATGATAGCCATGATTTTTGCATTTCCAACCTATTGGCACTACAGATGCCCAAACTGCCCTGGCTGTTGCCGAACGCGATGCACCTAAACGCCAGCTTATGAAAAACGTGTAGTAATCGCATCATCTAATCGTGGAAAGCTGTTGGCACTACTCTCCCAATATCGAGTATGGCATGAGGTATTGGTATCTTACACTTAGTCCGTCAATTCCGGTAGCAACGTTGGCTCCGTTTTCCTCCGAGTACTTGTCTCTCATCAAAACGGACTTCAAGAGCCCATGAAAGACTGCAGAATGTCATCAAGCCTCCGCCTCTTCTTTCTGTTGGGGTTCAATCCCGTCTCGACCTTGCCAAGCTCTACCTTTGGCCTCAACGACTCTGCCGGCTTCCGCGCCGGCTCATGCTTGGTCACCCCCGACGACCTTCTGAAGAACGTGTACCTGCACGTGGCGAAGAGTCCCCGGCGCACATATGAAACGGCCGGCGTGATGCCCGGCCTGCCAGATCCGCAATGGCCCAGCTGGAGGCATGCGAACGGCTTCGCGGGCAGCACCAGCTGCTCCGACACCGCCTTGAGTAACGTAGCCGTCTTAGGACCTGCCCTCTTGAGGTCTGCGTCCCCCGTGAGCTGGCCAAGGAAGGAGTATAGCCAAAAGCCCCACGTCTCAAAGGGGAAGCCCTTGCAGGTTTGCGCCTCGTAGCCCGGCACGTCGACGTACATGGATAGGTTCCTCTTGGCCGCGTCGCTGAGGTGATCGAGGAACGGGGGTGCGTCCTGGCCGCCTGAGGAGGAGGCCTCGATGGTGATGGGCTGATTGCTGCTCTGGCAGAAATTCATCAGCCCGTCGTCAATGTTGCGCGCCATGCCCTGGAGCTGTCTCGGCTTGCTGCCGTCCTTGCCCTCTGCCGTATCGACGGCACCGTCGAAGAGCAGGAGGTACCACAGCAGGGAATCGTGCGGGCCGTGCAGCGGCTCGTCAACCTCCCAGCCATTCTCCTCCGCAACGCCCCAGGTGTCCCGCCAGTCGAGCCTTGACGCGTTGACGTCGTACAGCGCCAGCGCGGGGAATTTGGAGACGTACTGGAGCGAGTGTGTCGTGACGGACTCGTCGCCCCAGAGACGGAGGATGCGGAGGAGCGGGAAGGGGTCATCCATCTCAGACCAGCTCCTGACGAGGCGGTCGTCGACCTTCGGGAAGCTGGGGGCGTGTTGCTCGTCCATGACCGACGCCGACGACGCCGGCTCAATGATTTCGAGGATGGCGAGGTTTCGAAGCTTGGGCAGCGCCAGCAGCTCGTTCTCGCCAAAGGAGCAGGACCCCGTGATGGTCAGGTGCGTCACAAAGTCCACGTTTAGTGACTCGAGCGGTTTGAGGTAGTGGCGGAGACTCGCGCCGCTGGGCTGGCATATGTGTTGGCGGTAGCGATATAGGCCCAGCGTCTTTTCGTCGTCTTCGGCGAGGAGGAATTTGGAAAAGACCTTCCAGGCTTGGAAGCATACACCTCTATATATCAAGAAAAGAAAGGATGAATATCACAATGTGCCATTTTTGGAGTAATTAAGAGGTTGACCAACCTATTCTCCAAGAGTCGCCATATCCTCCACAAATACCGCCGCGGCAGATCTTCACGGGCGAGATGCTGTTCTTCCACGTCGCCGATATTTTCCGCTATCGTGTGCACCGCCATGTCGGCGAGCGACCTCGCGCCCTTCATACCTTGGCCGCCGCGGCCTCTTCGTGGCTGCCGGCCGGTCCGCCGTGACCAGTCCCGGCCATTTTGGTATGTGTCGGGGGGCCGCTGTGCGACGACTTCTCTGAAGACTTGTCCGTTTTGGTCATACATGGGTGACGGTTCATGCAGAAACACTGGACAGAGATATGGCTTGGGAGGTCGAAAACAGTTGTCACTGTATCACCTTTGAGAGTTCGTCATGGTTATGGCGATGGGTGAGGTGAGATGACGGGTGAGCAAGGGACGGACTCAGCGAGAGGCCGATGCACCGTGCATATACTGTATGTCATTCCGTCGCACTGTACTGTCGTGATAACTTCACAGCAAGAGCACTTCCTGCCATCGGACTTTGAACTCTGAGCAGCATTGAAGACTTCGACTCGAGTGTTACGTTGAGACTTGGTGTCTAGCACAGTATTATAATGCGCCCCAGCTCAGTCACGGCATTTCACTAGTCGAAAGGTAAATGGGAAAGAATGTATCGCTGCAAAAAATTTCTCCAATCACCAATACAGCCGAAGCTGCCACGGGTCAGAGGGTAAGTGTGCGAGTAAGTGCGTCAGTCTCTCCTCCTGTTTCCCCTCCAGACACATTCATTGATAACGTGAAAGCCAGAGTGAATAAGGAGGATTAATATGTTTTATGATTAGGTAAAGAAGAAAAGAGAAAAAGAGGAAAGCGCAAGCTTTTGCGCGCGATCTCAGCCTTGATATTGGTTTTTCGGGAGTGGGGCCTGTGGAGAGGGTGGTTGGTCCGCGCTTAGGTTTTGCCGATGGCCGGGATTCATTTTCGGGCAGTACTTAGATGCGGCTCGATACCTTGGTGGGCCACTTGGAGGTCTCCTTGGCATTTCATTACGATGAACCCGTGTCACACCGGGGTAGCTGTTCACATTGGAGACAAAAATGACTTACATCAATGATTGTGCTACCTTGAGAGATCTTTATCTTGTACCATGGACTGAACTGCGCCAATAGGATTTTCACCCGAGCAAAGTGAGAGGCTACTCCTACACTTTGAGAACCAGTCGCAGTTGATTGACATACGATGAACTACCACACAACCAAGTATCTTTGAGGTATTTGCTTATTTGTTAGTACATTGTATCAAAACGTACCTTCTCCCTGGCAACAAGTCAATCACTGGTATTCTCTTGATCACCTTTAATTTTGGTATGATACACGGGATCTATAAAGCCATGAGCAACAAGTGGGGTCGATTCACGTAACGAATGAGAGCCGTCAGGTTGAAATCATCCTGCGATTGGCCTCAGTCTTTCCCTGTCTCTATCAGGGTTATAATGTCAGGGACCGCGGTCTCGTACCTGAGGGAGGGTAAGATGTTGCACCTGTAACTAAAGTGAGGTGATTGCCGAAAACATACCATGTGTGGCTTAGATGACAGACATTCTGCACATGTGCATCTTCTGACACAGGCTGTCAACATTGAAGCCTGCCCGTTTTAGCGCGGGGCACAAAGTCGTGGCGGTGAAAAAGAGGCCAAAGAGTGGCCCCCTCGGGTAGAAATGGGCTGCTGCCGCCGGCCAATGAAGGTCAAGGTGTTTGTGTTTGCGGGACTCTGCAGGTTCAGGGACTGAAATGGACTGCAGTATCGTGCTTTGCGCGCCGTAACCCAACGATGCTGTTATGGTCCAGTTGGTAAGGTAACTTGGCAGGGCGAAATACCGTAATGATGATTGCCCCTCTGATCTGCCACACCTTATTAAGTCTGTGACTCCTCGAGCTATTCCTTAGTGTCTACCCAATGGGATCATAACTGAAGTCGGATTCACCGTGTTGACCCTGCTTTATCTACAGTGATTCCCTCTTCCACTGCTTCTAGTCTCCGACACCATAACCTTTTTCTTTAAAAACCACCACGTTCAAGTGCACCCGCCGCCCACCAAAGCAGGACAGCACACTTTTACCCCGCCATTCTACCCTTTGCGCCAACTATCTCTGCTAAACATCCCACTTCGACCCCGCAATCTCACTTTGTCTACGCAGACAATCAGAAGCAAACCAGCAAAAAAAAAAACCCCCCACATCACAGTCAAAATGGCAGGCGGACAACCAGGAGGCAACTCTCGCGGCCGTGGCGGCAAGTTCAGAAAGTTCACTCGTGGAGGTTCGTCAAAGATTCGCCAATGACCCCGCTGAAGCGCTGGCTGACACTCTCCTGATTGAAAAGGTGGCAAGCACTTCTCCCGTGATCTCAGACCCCTCGACGCCGATGGCAACGAAATCAACATGTGGGCCGCCGGCTCCAAGAAGAAGGACGAGGAAAGCTCCGAAGAAGACTCTGAGGAGGACTCTGAGGAGGAGTCCGACTCTGACGAGGGCGGCGCCGCTCAGGCCGAGTTGTCTCGTGCCGACAGAAAGGCGGCCGCAAAGGCTCGCAAGGACGCCGCCATAGCCAAGAAGAAGGCCCAGGCCGTCGAGGTCGGCGACATGCCCCCAGCGATTCCGAGGAGGAGAGCAGCGACGACGACATGCCCGCCAACCCCAACCACTCCAAGGCCTCTCGCAACCAGACCAAGGCGCCTGCCCCCAGCGCCGACGTCGACGAGGCCGCCGAGGGCGTCAAGAAGCTGACTGTGGCCAACAACCGCAAGGAGCGCGAGAGCATGGAGGCCGCGCAGGCCAAGGAGAGATACCGCAAGCTGCATGAGGCCGGCAAGACGGACGAGGCCAAGGCCGACTTGGCGCGGTTGAGACTCATTCGTGAGCAGAGAGCGGCTGATGCTGCCCGGAGAGATGTAAGGATTTCCAACAAGTCTCGATTTGCCTCCTCGACATGAAAACTAATCCTTCAATTTTTTGCAGGCCGAGAGAGAAGAGCGCGAGGCCCAAGAGGCTGCGAAGAAGAAGGAGATTGAGGCAAAGGAGGCCAAGAAGCGTGAGGCCGCCCTCGGCCCTTCAGCAAAGAAGGGCAAGAAGTCTAGCAAATAAGCCGGTCCTGGCCAAGTCGGACATCCAGTGCTCTTTTGGCAATCTGGACAAGACCTCAAGTTATATACCATCGTTCTCCCTGGTCCATATTCGATCTCAGCATCGCATGCCTCGGACACTATGTGGAAACCATGAATGTGGACGAAAGATTTCGTTTGCCAAACCCCAATTATTGCGATGGGCTGTCCTGCCAGACTCCGTGAAAATGCTCTATTTTTACATGAAGCCAATTGTACATGCCTCGCGCAGCGCAAATACATGATTTGCCTCACATGCCACTCAACCCATCCGATCCAACAGCGTCATGCCATACTTGATCAAAATCCACGCCTTCTTTTTGGAACAGATCCCGGATCTGCTTCGCGACCACAGTTTGCTTCTCGGGGCCGAACCCACCAGGTTGTGAGGACTCGAACTGCACAATCTCGATCCACCGGAAGAAGAGGTTCTCCTTGCCAATTGCGTTGAGAGCATCTCTGAACTGGAATACCTGTCTCCGTCTGTCGTCTTCCTTGGCGGTCACGCCCTCTTCTTCAACTGACATCCAGCCGAAATCTTCATGATACACCAGAACCAAGCGTCGGAAGGCATCTAGTGCGACGTCGTTGCGATCCACCATGGTGTGCGCGTCAATCATGGCCTGCCAGTCGAGATCCCACTGTCCCGTCATGGTGAGGTAGCCAGTCTTCTCCTGCAGAAGGAGAGGGGAGCAAGCTTGCCGGATGACCTGCTGCAACGCCTCGTTGCGCTCCCGGTCCTTGAAGATGTCGCCCAGCTGCTGGTCCCACTCCCGGCTGCGCCGGACGTAGATTTCCTTTTCGCGGAAACCGATCTTCCGTCGCCAGCTGACCGGGTTGCTGTACGACGTGCCAAAGACGAACTCGACGGGCCACGGCCAGACAAAGATGAAGAGCATGAGATCCAGAGTGAGCGAGCCGCCGCGCTTGGCCACCTCCCAGAGGAGCTGTCCCCAGGTCGAGTCGGCGGTGGGGAAGGTCGTCTCGTTGGGGTAGCCCAGGGCGGACTGGACGAACTTGAAATAGTAGGGCAGGATCCAGTACATGCGTAGGACGAAGAGCGCGGCGACGGCCAGGTTCATGCCGACCGGCACGAGAAAGATTTTCTTCTTGAACTCTACGGGCTTGGAGTCGATGTGGGTGATGTAGACGTGCTTTGGGTCAAGCGTCTCGATGAAGGGTTGGAGGACCTCTGCCGGCTTCTTGAAGGGCTTCGGCGGCGCGCCCACTGCCGCCTTCTTGGGCGCCTTGGATTTGACAGCCTTCACTTTTGGCGCCATTGTGACCGTTTCCGCGGACACTTGCTGTGAACTAGGTCTGCTTGTGAAATGTGAATGAGAATAAGTGAGCTTGACACACGGTTCTTTAGCTAATACAAGCTGGCCAAATTTGCTTTACAAATGGGGGCAAGGGGGTCGCATGCCATCAGGTACCTGCCCCTGACGTACCGGGTGGTGGGTCCAAGAACTGTCCAGTTGCCTCCTGGCAGCGATTGGCTGCACATGCTGACCTCTCCAATTGCCCTGGGGGAGCTCGAGAAATTTCTGGGGCATTTCGAAGGAGCTCGAGCTTTACTTTCACTTTCTCCAGGCATTTCTTCGCAGCCTCTCATGTTGCGCCCAAATACAAATCATGCTTAGATGTAGGATATGGAACGTAAGTAGAACTATTCCCGAACGATTGAGGTCTTCACACATAATCTAATAGCTTCTTTAGGAGCGAAGCAGTGCTTACGTCTGCGCCTTCTGCCGCCACCCCGCCCTACCGCGGCAGCGTGATCTCAGTCGACCAACCTACTCCGATTCGACGAAACTTGCATCGAACGGCAGCAGGGGATTTGCATCATGGGGAGGCGGCAAGAGCTCTAACGGCTCGGGTATTCCAAGGAAGTCACCCGGTCCGGCCAACGGGTCGGGATGGGGAGCGCCATCGTTTGGTGCAGGCACGCCGTCAAAAGCACCGAGCCCTGATGGCCCAGCAGCAGCAGCCCCGGTAGATCGAAGAAACGATGCCGACGATGGACTTTTACCACACGAACGCGCCGCGCGCCAGAAGCTAGCCGCTCACAAAGCCGCACAGGAGAAGGCCGTGCAGGACAAAGCCACGGCGACGAGAAAGGCCCAAGAAGCTCTGGGGCAGCCAGACCCGAGACAACGAGGGCCGAAGGGAGGTCTTGGGAGCGGTCTTGGAAGCGGCGGCGTTCGAAGTGGTGCGCAAAGAGGCTTGGGAAGAGGCCTTGACAGTGCCCCTACAAGTGCAGGAGGAAAAGAGGACGAGAAGAAGCCGAGGCAGTTTTTCAGTGGCTTAGGAGATGGCCGTAAAGGAGGCCTCGGAGGTGGCCTTGGAGGAAGCTCTAAAGGTGGCTTGGGAGACGCCAACGCAAAACCGCGAACACAAGGCGGTCTTGACGAAAGGCCTTCACGTTCAGCACCAAGATCCGACTGGAGACATCGTCATGATTCAGACCAAGCCCCGCCAAGCACGCCTGTACCGCATCACCGACGCGCTGAAAGAGATGGTCCCGGTGGTCTGTCGTCCCAGAGGGACTCGCGCCAGCGAAATGGCCTCGGCAAGTCAAACGCACTGGGCTCGGGCAACTGGGGTCAACTCTCAAAGAGGACTCAAGACCCTAGCATTGATTCGGAGGGACTTTCGAAAGAGAGCTTTTTCACCAAATTTCAAGAACGGGTGGCTGAAAGTCCCATCCGGAACGACAGAAACCCACGATCATCACGCTCAGAACTTGGTGGCTTGAGCGAAGACATTCCAGGTGACTATGCACAAGCTGCATCGAACACGTCTCAAAAGCCAGAGTCCAAGACAAGAGAATTCGACGAGTCCTACGAGATCAACCGTGACTCTCGACGACGCGACAAGACTAGCAATCGTCGCGGGGATAGCTACGCATCGTCTCGGGGATCGTACAAGTCAAAAGGGCAGTCACGGTGGGAGGACGAGAATGATGAATGGGAAGATGGTGGTATGAGTCCCGCCGAACGCCGTCGTCTGAAGGCTGAGGCAAAAGCACAAAGAGCTGCGGAAGCTGCGGCAGCTGCGGCAGTCCCGAGTATCTTCCTGCCCGAGTTCATCAGCATCTTGAACTTGGGCTCTGCGCTGAAGATGAAGAGTCGCGAATTTTTGAAGGCTCTGGCAGAAATGGGCTTCGAGGACATCACGGAGGACAGTATCATGACGGGAGAAACCGCGGCTCTAGTCGCTCAAGAGTTTGGTTTCGAACCAAAAGTTGATACTGGCGGTGCGAGGGATCTCAAACCTCGACCTTCTCCGGAAGATGTCTCAGTATTGCCGCAGCGCCCCCCTGTTGTGACCATCATGGGCCATGTCGATCACGGAAAGACTACGCTTCTCGATTACCTCAGGCAATCTTCCGTTGCGGCGCAGGAACACGGCGGTATCACTCAACACATTGGCGCTTTCATGGTCAAGATGTCTGAAGGGAAACTTATCACCTTCCTCGACACACCTGGTCACGCGGCCTTCTTGACCATGCGGCAACGTGGTGCCAATGTCACAGATATTGTGGTGCTCGTTGTGGCAGCTGACGATAGTGTCAAACCCCAGACTCTGGAGGCTCTCAAGCATGCCAGATCCGCAAAGGTGCCGATGATCGTGGCCATCAACAAGTGTGACAAGGAAGATGCGCGCCCGGATCAGGTCAAGGCCGACCTCGCCCGTCACGGTGTCGAGATCGAAGATTTTGGTGGTGACGTACAAGTTGTTTGTGTGAGTGGAAAGACTGGTCAAGGCATGGCTGAGTTGGAAGAGAATATTGTCACCTTGGCTGAAATTCAAGACATGCGAGCCGAAGCCGATGGTATGGCTGAAGCTTGGGTGCTTGAAGCCAGTATAAAGCCATATGGCAAGTCTGCCAATGTGCTCGTCAAGCGTGGCACTCTACGCCTCGGCGACTTCATTGTCGCAGGCACTGCCTGGGCCAGGGTCCGAGTTTTGCGAAACGAGGCCGGACAGGAGTTGGACGAGGCGCCACCTGGAACCCCTGTTGAGGTTCTGGGCTGGAGAGACGAGCTGCCCGCTGCTGGGGACGAGATCCTCCAGGCACCCGACGAAGATCGAGCCAGGGTGGCTGTCGACTACCGTGAGGAGATGCGGGAGAGAGAGGCATCTTCGAAGCAACTGGCCGAGCAAGAGCTTCGCGAACGCGAGGCCAAGATTGCTGCTGAGATAGCGGCAGAGGTCGAGGCAGCAGATGGTGACGCTGCCGAACCGGCTTCGACCACGAAAATCATCAATTTCATGGTTAGAGGTGACGTCGTAGGCTCCGTCGAAGCTGTATGCGCGACGATCAACGAGATTGGCAACAACGAAGTGAGGCCTTGTATCCTTCGGTCTGCGGCTGGTCAGGTTTCCGAGTCAGATGTCGAGCATGCCGAGGCTTCCAGCAGTGTCATTGCCAACTTCAACAGCACCGTACCCGGGCATATCAAGGCCATGGCGGAGCAGAAGGGCGTCAGGATTATAGATCACAGCGTCATTTATCACTTGGCAGACGACGTTAAGCAAGTCATGTCAGAGTCCTTGCCGGATAAGGTATCGTCCAAGGTTGTCGGTGAGGCGGACATCCTTCAGATTTTCCCCATCAACATCAAGGGACGCAAGTACAAGAACATTGCCGGATGCAAGGTCAGAAACGGTTCGGTCACTCGATCAACTATGGCGCGCGTTCTGCGCGGAGGCGAAAAAATCTTTGAAGGTAAGCTTCCCCCATTTACTACCCTTTTATGTGAGGAGCGGCCTAATCTGACAACAAATGTAGGCAAGATCGATACTCTCAAGCACGGCAAGAAGGATGTAAACGAAATCAGAAAGGGCTCCGAGTGCGGTATCGCCTTTGATGGGTTTACAGACTTCCATATTGGCGACCAAATCCAGATGTACGAAGAGGTGAGGGAGAAGAGGTCTTTGTAAGATAATGGGGACGGCTGTAAGACGTTTGTACGAGATGACACGACGAGGCCGTGGGTATAGAGTTGAGCTACAGTGGTGCTTGAAAATTCCTCGACGTCAAAGCTGTGCTCTGGAGGTGGACGAATGGATTCGGAGACCCAACTCATACAACGCCATACTGTAAAACAACTTGCGTAATCAGCCAGTCAAGGCTGTTATAGAATATTTGTGGAGGCTCATTGCTACCTCAAACTTCATCATGTATTATTTATTTATTTTACCACCGTTTCGGGGCAGAAACCGTATTCGATGAGAACGTCTTACTCGTGGTCGTCGCTTGCGACCGTTCCTTCTCGAGCTTTGCCAACCCAATCTTGTCCGTGACAGGCGTGGCATTGATGATGTGGTCAAATTCGTCATCGTCCTCCCCATTGTCCGAGTCGGGCTCAACATCAGAGTCGGGCTTCAAGTTTTGTGGCCGTGCTATCGACTCGGGCTTCTTCTTCTCCTCTGCCGCCGACGGGTTCGAAAACGTCTTTGACGCGAGAACCTTGCGCCGTATCTCCTCCATGGCCGCATCGTCGTCGCTATCGTCTGATATCGCGTAGGGGTCTTTGTCATCCTCTTCCTCTTCTTGATCTTTTGCAAGCTTCTTGCCCAGGTATATGCCATCAACACTGTTGCCTTCACCAGACTCGTCCCCGCTCTCGTCATCGTCATCGTCATCGTCATCGTCATCCTCCTCCTCGTCAGAGTCCACCATGGCTCTCCTGTTTGTGTTTCCTCCCTTCCACATGTCGTCCGCGTCAGCATCCTCTCTGCTATCCGCATACTCCTTGTCGAGCCTGTCCAGCCATTCCTCCTGAACCTTTTTCACCCCCTTTTCGTCTTCGCTCGCGGCATACTTCTTCAACAGGCTCCCATTGATCTCCAAAAATGCTTCGCCATAGGAAAAGGGCGCCAGAACCTGCTCCGACCACTCGGGGTGCCCGCAAATGTAAAACGCCGCCGCCAGCGCCTCGACGCAGTTCAGCTTCCACGGCTTGCCGTAGTTGACGGTATTCGCAGCCACCAAGTACGGCAGCAGCCGCTCGCACTTGCCTCCCACTTTGTTCCACTGGACGTCCTTCATGCGCGCCCAACTGCACTCGACCACGGCGGCGCCGTACTGGTCCATGAGGTCGCGGTCGGCCGGGGAGACGGTGTGTTTGCCATTGGGCGTGATGATAACACCGTTGTGCCTCTGGCCGACGTGGAGATCGCGCATCATGCCCATCCGGATCAGCTTCTTGCCGGAGCACCGCTTAGGGTCGCAGTGGCCGAGATCCCAGCATGCTGCCTTGAAGGACGGGCGGGTGGAGGGACCGTCGGTGTCGTCGCCATCGCGGGGTTGACGTTGTCGCGGCGGTCCCGAGTGGAGCTTGCGACCGCGGGAGCTGAAATTGTCTTTCTTATGGCGGACCATCTTGAGTTGGGAGAGCTGGGTTGCTGTGGGATCGCAAGGGTGACTGAAAGAGTGTCTCAAGGGTTCAGTATCTCCTTGGGCGAACAAAAGTTTGGCGGGGTAGATTTTGGAGGGGCAAATGTAAAAAGTGACCAGAAAAAACATCAAAGTGCATAACAAGGTTCGAATATGCCAGTAAGCGTGATATCTCCGAATAAGGTAAAGAAGTCTGGACGGCAAGCACAGGCCACCTTTTGGTGGCTCCTCTTCCCGCGCCGCCTGTCACTCAGCAGCCCCTCGTCACTCGGCCACAGATGCCATCGGTACCTATCACAGGGTTCATGAGGGATGCCTGCGCCGACCTAATCCAATCTGTCCAATTCGCAGGCGCTCGTTCGGCCAGCTATTAATTCTTCCACGGCCAACTCAACCCACCCACCGACCTCGGATGCGCTTCTCACCTTGAGAAACTTGGACGAACGACAGATCCCCAACTCGCCAAGATAGCTCCCTTACCTCCCCGCCCGAGGCCGCCCACGAACGCAACAGCCGCAACGACGACGATGGAGGCCGCATCAGCCAGAGCTGCGGCCCGAGACCGCTGGGGCGAAATGGGCGCTCCCACGCCGTCCCAGCTCCAGCGCTTCATCCAGGCCGCCTGCAGTCCCGAGAATTACGAGCCGAACCTCGCTCTGAACCTCGAAATTTCCGACCTGATCAATTCCAAGAAGGGCTCCGCTCCACGCGAGGCCGCTGTCGCCATCGTCAGCTACATCAACCATCGCAACCCCAACGTGGCCCTCCTCGCGATCAACCTGCTCGACATCTGCGTCAAGAACTGTGGCTACCCCTTCCACTTGCAGATCAGCACAAAGGAGTTTCTCAATGAGCTCGTCAGAAGGTTCCCCGAGCGACCCCCGATACGGGCGACGAGGGTCCAGATGAAGATCCTCGAGGCGATTGAGGAGTGGAGAAGCACGATATGCGAAACGAGCAGGTACAAAGAGGACTTGGGCTTCATCCGGGATATGCATCGTCTTCTGAGCTACAAGGGGTACACGTTCCCCGAAGTCAGGCGGGATGACGCCGCCGTGCTCAACCCCAGCGATGTAAAGCGCTCTTTTCTATCGTTGACAGTGTTTTGGAGCTATACTGACGTGCAAAGAACTTGAAATCTGCCGAGGAAATGGAAGAAGAGGAACGCGAGGCGCAATCTGCTAAGCTCCAGGAGCTCATTCGACGAGGTACACCCGAGGACCTCCAGGAGGCAAACCGTCTCATGAAGATTATGGCCGGCTACGATACTCGATCCAAGACCGACTACCGCGCCAAGGCCGCTCAGGAGGTTGCCAAGATTCAAGCCAAGGCTAGGTTGCTCGAAGAGAGACTGGAAGCTTTCCAACAAGGCGACACGATGCAGGATGGAGATGTGTTTTCTGAGCTTGCTGCTGCTCTGTCTAGCGCTCAACCCAAGATCCAGAAGATGTGTGAGGAGGAGTCAGATGACCACGAAGCTGTCGCGAAGTTGCTGGAGATCAATGACAGCATACATCGGACAGTGGAGCGATACAAGTTCATGAAGAAGGGGGATCTTGAAGCCGCCAAGAAGGTGGCCAGTGGTGCGCCGCTGCCGTCGACTTCAGGTCCTTCCAAGAGCGCAGCGCAAGAGCTTTCTTTGATCGACTTTGATGGCGAGCCAGAGACAACGAATGGCTCATCGTCAAGTCAGCCGGCCTCGCAGTCAGCAGGCATCGAAAACGACCTTCTTGGTCTCTCCATGGACGATTCAGCAAGCTACGGCCAGGGAGGTGCTTTGACTCTGGGATTTGGAGCAAACTCGAGTATGTTCAAACAGAGTCTTTGTTGTTGACGCATCAACATACTGACCAAAATTAGACATCCCAGGGCCGGCGCTGCTCTCTTCCGTGACGGAAAACAACAGCGCAAAGGGACCTATGAGCAACACTGCAACCCCCCAGCCACCATCCTTCTCGCAGTTCGCTTCTTTCACCTCTCCTTCAGCATCTCAGTCCGGCACACCCCAGCCGTCTGGTATGTCTGCCTTCAAGCCACCCCAGCAGCAGGCCACGACCTCAAACGACCCCTTTGCCGCTCTCGGATCCCCCATCTTCTCCTCCAAACCTGCTACCCCAGCTCCCGCCCCCGCCATCGCGCCCGCGCCAGCAGCACCAGCCGCAAACGACGACGACGAATGGGCCTTTTCGTCAGCCCTCCCTCCTGAAGCGCCTAGTCAGCCTAAGGAGCACAAGGCGACTGTTAGCGATTCTACTGTTAAGATTGAGATGATTGCAGGGAGAACGGGGACGGGCAATGCGATCAACCTTAGTTTCGCCTTCTCGAACAACTCTGCGCAGCCCATCTCAGAGCTTCACTACCAGCTCGCCGCCACAAAGGTCAGTCTTGCGCGTGCCATCTCCAGATAGGTCATTTTGCTAACATTAACCAGGGTTACGAACTTGGCCTCAGGCCTCAGACTGGGCGAGAGCTGGCTCCCAAGCAGAGCAGAGGTGTGACCCAGTTTGTGGAAGTATGGCATGCTGGGGACAAGAACCGCAAGGTGCAATCCATCAAATTGCGGTGGAGGATTTCTTACAAGGTTGGAGCGGAAGCGAAGAACGAGATGGGAGAGATTACCGAGTTCAGCCTCGCATGATAATCCGGGGGTGCATCGAGGAGTGCGGGGAAGATGGTAGGTAGAAAAGGAGCGTTTTGAAGTATTGGAAGATGAGCCGGCGCAACTAGCGCAACGCGAAAGAGGTATAGAATCAGGGTATCTAACAATCTGATGAGCCATCAACCAGTAAATCTGTCTCGTACCTAGGTCTCCCGTAATAATGTGGCAGACGATGTTCATCCCTCGCTTCCCTCGTGCCCTCACGTGCTCCAAGTCCGAATGAAATCACGACGGTCCAATGGTTGAGAAGGAGGCAAGCAGTCCCCACCACAGCACCTGCCTTCCTTCCCATCACAGGAACCAAACCATAACTTACGAAACCGCCCTGCCCCTACCCTTTATGTATAACGTCCCGCGATTCTGTTCTCGTTGACAGTTGGGCGAGTGGTTCCAAAGTAGCGGCGTGAGAGCGCGGCAGTGAAACCGAATTTACAGACCCTCTTGTTCGCTACTCGGTGGAGGCAGCCCTGTGCGACCTTTGAGGCCTCAGATGGCCGGGTTTAGCACGCGAAGGGGCTAGTCCCGAATCGTTTTGTGGTTGTGATTGTCGGTCTAAATTGATTTCTATATGTTTTGGATGGATCTGAAAATGTTGTGGTGTTGGTGGATTATTTGCTGCTGTTGAGGTAAGTGGGCGTGTTGTTTTGATGTGAGGGCGGGAGCCGTGATGTTTTGTTGTTTTTGTCCTGGTGGTTTTTTGTGATTCTGCGAATGCGCGGACGACGGTGGTGGTCGAGGATGGCCGGGCGGGATGAAGACGGGACCGGGGTGGGGCCGTGATTGACGGGCACTACGGCGTGTGGGGGCCGCCAGGCTTATCCTTTAGCCGCTAAAATGCACGTCCGTTGCGGGATGACCTCAGAGCTCCTGGTGAAATTCCTGGCGAATTCATAGCCGCCTAAAGCAACATTGTCGAGATTGTGATTCCAGAGAAGGCACTCGTATCTCCTAACGGTCAATTGCCCCAGCTCGAATCGTCGGACTTGTTGGAGAGTCTCGTTGCGCAGCGAAAACAGGAGCCGAGTTTTGGCGGAAAACGCAACTGCCTAACGATCGTCGGCTCCAATCCGCGCCCCAAGTGCAAGATAAATATCAACACGAAAGATGGGCTCCGACGAAGAGCACCGTGGCCAGCGGTCGCGACGTAGCCGCCACGACGACCAAGACGACGAGGATCGGCCCCGCCGAGAACGAGACACCACAGATCGCGATAGCCACCGCCGCAGACGCAGCAAAGACCGCAGCGACACCCACCGCGACCGCGACCGTGAACGTGATCGCGATCGTGATCGCGGCTCGGACAGACCACCACGCAAAGAACGACGAAGATCTCGATCATGCGACAGGCGCGAGACGTCCCGTCGCTCGCGCTCACCAGACCCTTCCGCGCGGAAACGCTCCCGCTCACGAGACCGCGATCGCGGCGATCGCGACAGACACAGGCGGAGGCGATCCCCTCAAGATGACGAGCGCAGCAGCAGGGACAAAGACTCCCGTCGCCGCCGACACCGCGATCGAAGCCCAGCCTCCGACTCAGAAGATAACAACACCAAACCCCAAGAGCGCAAGCGCCTCACGGCGCCCACAAGCCCCATCCGCCGCTCGGGGCCCCTCCCAGACCAAGACGCCTCCTTCGCCGTCTCCAAAGGCGAAGAACCCGAAAAACCAAAAGAAAAACCCAACCTCCGCACAACGGGCCTCCTCGCAGCGGCCTCCAACTCGGTCCAACAAGCCGACGGCACCTCCATCGCGCTAAAATACCACGAACCCGCCGAGGCGCGCAAGCCGCCCGCGCGCGACCAGTGGAAGCTCTTCGTCTTCAAGGGGGACGACGTGGTCGACACGGTGGACCTGAACCTGCGGAGCTGCTGGCTGATGGGCCGCGAGGCGGCCGTGGTGGATTTCGCGGCCGAGCACCCAAGCATCAGCAAGCAGCACGCCGTGATCCAGTTCCGGCACGTGGAGAAGCGGAACGAGTTCGGGGACCGGATCGGGAAGGTGAAGCCGTACCTCATCGATCTCGAGAGCGCCAACGGGACGGTGCTGAATGGGGACAAGGTTGCGGAGAGTCGGTATTATGAGCTGAGGGATAAGGATATGATTAAGCTGGGGCATAGTACGCGGGAGTACGTGCTCATGCTGGCGCCGAAGGACTAGATACCAGAAAACGAAGACTTGCTGTGGCCGTAAGGCAGCTCTTGAACACTCCAAGATCGCAGGTCCCGAGGTGGCATTGTAGAAGGATGGCTTGTTGTCAACAGAGATGTAAATCACCTAATTCACAGTCATATGAAGAGATGAAGCATTTGGGCGCCATAATCTTCTTGAATCATACTCTACCTGTAACTCTCCTTGAACAAAAGAAACGCTTGGCCTCCAAGGCCGCTTTAGAAGTATACAATGACTAAAACACCTGGTCTGTTCCGTTCTGTTTTGTTTCAGCGCCAGCCTCTTGCCTCCCCCAAACAACACTTTTGTCGCAAGCCTTCAAGTAAGACAGAATTCGAACAAGAAATCCAATCTACCAGCTCCGTTCTTCGTCAAAGACGCCTTCTATGGCGTTTTGCGCCAGGCTTGCTATCTGGCTGTGGTGCCTTCTAAGGCATACGTAGCCCCAGCCCTATGGGGCTTGACTCTGGAGGAGACTCTGAGTCTGCCTCACCAGTTCTGACTTGTCGCGAAAGCTCCACCGCCTCTTCATACCTGCGTTGGAGTCGATTGTCATCTGCCTGAATGCGCCGCCGTTCCGCTTCTTCAATGTTTATTGGAATGTCGCCAAATGAGATGAGCCGTCCATCTGTAGTTCTGATGCCCCCGGACCCGGATCTAGACATTGGTTCGCTGTTGCCAGGGAGAGACCGCGAACTCATTGTCGGGCTTTCCCGTATGAAGCTAGGGACACGACCGACAGGCAGTCGGCGAGGCATATTGCTGCGTCCAAATAGCGCCTCGTCGATGGGCTGTCCGGGCTGCCTATCCCTCCATATGTCGTAAGAAGTCTGGTCCATCTCTATTGGGGAAAGACGCGGTGAGGGCTCCGTCTCCACCATAGACGGCGCTCGCCGATGAGGGATACTTGACCTGACGCTTCCGCTATTGCTGCTCAAAGCTGTGCCTGCTGAGCCAGCCGCTGTCGCATATCGAGGGTTTGAGCTCGGGTTCCTAGACATTGGCTGCGATGAATACCCATTCGGCGGCGTAGGATCCATATGAATTCCTGGCCGATAGTTGTCTTTATATGTGCTAGATGGAACCTGCCGCGGTGGCGGCCGATATCCCATATTCTCAGCGGGAAAGACGTTCAGACTTGGGCGGCCCAGACATGGATCAGACTGGGAAAGAACATCATTGTCAGACTCATCCTGGTATGTGTAAGGTGGCTGGGAATTTGACTGCCGATCGAGGGGATGCTGTCGCAGACTACTCTCTTGATTTGTGACAACGGACAATCCGGAGGGAAATTGTTGTGGGTAAGCCAGACCCGGGCTGGAGTTCGCTGTTCTCACATCCTCCTGGTATGTGTACGGGAGTTCTTCCGACGATCTCGGAATGGATGAGATCGATGAACCGCTGGAAGAAAACTTTCCTTGGCCTGATTTTTCGTGACGCTTTCCCCCACTAACGGATCTGCCCAAGCGGCGGAGGAATTTTTGAAAGGACGGCTTCGAAGTGGATTCTTGAATTTGCGATTGGCGAGACTGTTCGGTCGATTGAGACACATTACCAGAATCATTTAACTTTGGAAATTGGTTTTCTTTCAGCCTGAGAGCTGTGGAAGGCGTTCGGCTGTTCACGGTCTGTAGGCTGTAGACGGACCGATCATCGTAAGCAGCTTTCCTGTCGATTGTCGCGGCCCGTGAAGGGGGAGAAGCGAAAGTAGGAAACAAGGAGGTCTCCTCCTCGGCTGCGGTGCCTGACACGGCCTTGGCGTAAATTGAAGCTCCGAGCATCGAGGTTGGCCTTGCAGATGTACCGGAACTGGAGCTTCTGCCCTTGTCGTGTATGTAGCCACCGCCACGAGGTGGTGGTGGTGACCCCTTTTTTATGTACAGCAGTTCGGCCTCAGCTTCGCTTCTTGCGGAAACGTTGGAGCGACTGGGTGATCTGCCCCCTCTGGAAGACTGAGGCGGGGTGATGAGGCCCCTTGCAGACTCCCGACTGATGCTCACACGAGGATCGTTTGTCGCTACGGCAGTCTCTCTCCATGCCCCTCCACGATCATGGTAGCGCCTCAGCGACTTTTTCTTCACCGACCGGTGTCTGGCCACAACAGTCCACGCAGTGTCGGCCGTGTCGTTGTATGGACCTTCTTCAATGTCGGGCGGGTATGGAGTGATGGTTCGATCCTCGGACCCTTGGTACTCAACCGGAGACGCCTGTTCATCCACATAAGGTACATAAGGCATGTGGTAGTGAACCGGGTTATGGGTTGTCAGCGGCAATTCGTATTCTTGCTCCAATGCAACCAAGTAGGCCTCTGGTGATTGAGGGAGTACAGCGGCACCAGAGGCGTCTGTGGAATGCGACGATAAACTGTTCATGCGCTCGAAAACAGAATTATGGGCAGCCTCCTTTCCGTCAATGATTCGGGTAGATATAGTCCTCTGTAGGTCGTTGAGGTCTGCGGGCACCTTCGAAAGTCGTTCTTCCAAATCATTTCGAGCAGCGTCAAGATCCACAGGTCCGGTTCTATTTCTGAACGTCAGTACTCTTCATCGAGCTTTTTGTAGAGTTGTACCGAATGAATAGAAGAGGGTGATGGAAACAAGACAGCACCGAGATTGAATGTGCATCTAGCCATAGGTCTTGGACAGGGCATTGATGCATAACAGTAGTTGCGATGGGACTATGAGATATTTCACCACTTACTGCGAATTAGGTTGCTCTGTGGACCGGTGAGTCGGGCGATCAATGACATGACGGTCAATAAGGTCCTTCAACCTCCTGCCGTGCCGAATGTATTGTCTGTAGTCTTCGGGAAGGCCAGTGGTAGGCTCATCGTTCATCCTGGTGTAGGCTTCGTCGAACGACGCGCAGAAGACGCGGATGGCCCGCTCCAGCCAGAAATGCAGCTGTCCCTCCTTGGCAAGAAATTCAATAAAGAACGCCTGTACAACACTGTGAACACGGAGTGTATCCAAAGGCTCAGGAGTCGTGTTGAGACCGCTCTGCGAGCTCGAGGAAGAGACGTCATCAGCTTCGTTTCGTTCGATAAGGGCGAAGCTTATCAAAGTAACGAAAGTCTGTGTCAGGCTCCTTCTGCCCTTTGTTGTTTCCGTCTTCACAGGTGTTCGCTTGTCCAAAGCTCCCAAGCCAAGAGCCAGTAGCTCAACCGGTATGAATTGACTGAAGAAGGAGAGTATGTAGATCAAATTCAACGCGGCGTAATTACCGCGACTCTGCAACTGATCTCGAATGGCCATGTATGCAGGAAGCTCACCAACTTTTGGTGAGTCTCGGAAGGTCTTGAGATACTTTGCAAGCGGTTCCCTCGTGGTGTTCATGTTCACAGCAGCGGCGTGAATCATCAGAGGGAGGCGACCCATCAGCTGTACCAATTCATGAGCTCGTCTGAGATCATCAGTGTTGTATGGGTGTTTCTTTCCCATTTCTTCGAGCAACAACTCCTGTGCGTCTTGAATGGGTGGTAGAGGCAACTTCATCATGCTGGGGTTGTCAAGAAGATGAGACCCAGGATCACACCGGTCAGTTGATGTGTAGATGAGACTGCTGTTTGGCCGGTCGGGTATGTACTTGAGAATCGCTTTGTCGTTGACGCGAATGCCATCAAACACTAGCAGCCAATCGCTTGACTCATTGAACCACCGTCTGACGATATCGACCATGTTGTGTGGATTTAACAAGTCCTTCTTATGTCCTTGAGCAGCCATGCCCTTGATAGCCTGGGTTTTCGCAATGCGCCAGAACCCGTCTTCCATGTCTTGCAACGTGGTAGACCTGATCCAGTATGCGCCCCCAGAATACTGGTCCTTATGATTGAAGTAGTACTGTCGAGCAAGATGTGTTTTCCCGACACCAGGAATGCCCTGAATTAAAACCGCAGATGTCCCCTCTGAGCGCCTCTTCGGGTCTTTCAACAGCTTGTGAAGATCTGCAAGGTAGTCCTCTCGCCCTTTGAAAAACGAGTTGGGTCGGAATCGATCAGGATGAACGAAATGAGGACCAGAGTTCAAGACTTGGGGGGCAGAGTCAGAAACAGGAGCGGATCGGGTGCTTGTTGTGTCAACAGGTGACGATTGTTGAGCTGCTGGAACATATCTATATTCTTGATGCATGTGTCAGAATGAAGATTCACGTTTGGCTTTTCATTATGGTATGGGTTTCCGGAAAAGAGAAGCATACCTGAAATCACAGTCTCTGGAGGGCTGCCATACTCGCGAGTGATCTCGGCTGCCTCGGATTGTGCTCTAGCCCTCCTGTCGTCCAATTCAATGTTCCAGCGGGTTCGAATCACTGGCGGAGCCTCTTCTGCCCACGCCCGAATAGCGGTTGAAACGTTTCTGTATCCAGGAGCGCTGCTGCTGTTGAATTTGCACATTCCGGAATGAGGGGCCTCGATGCCGTAGTAAACAACGCCTGGCAGTTGCGGGCTGGCCGAACTCGCATCCACCACCGTCACCATCGTTCCTCTGATATCAGTCTTGTGGTTCTCATGGGCCATGTGGATCTTGAAACGCTGGTAAAAGTCGAGGAAGTGGCTATTGATGTTTTGCAGAGTCTCGTTGTCCTTCTTCAAGGTTTTGAGGAGTACCGACTCGCTCTCAAACATTTTCTTGGGCGCAATGGCGTCTGCCATCTTTTGCAAAACGATACCCCATGTTGCCATGTCAGATCCGGTGTGTGGCGTGCCCAGGAAGATGATTCCAAAGGTGGAGACGAAGATAGATCTGGCATCTTCTTGGTTCTTGTCTCTCAAGTCATTGGAATAAATGAGGGCTCGCTTAACAAGAATGCCACCCAGGCTGTGTGCGACGAAGATGATGGGATTCTTGTCCGTGCGCTCACTTTTGCGATAGAGGGTGAGGTTCGTCACCAGTGTCTGAGCATGTTGGTAGATGAAGTTGTCACTTGCACTTGTGCTTTTACCGGTTGTATAGACGTCTGCGTTGTAGCCATAGACCAAGATGTTGGCGCGGGTCTTTCCCAGGGACTGCGGTAGTAGATCTGTGGGCCAGAACACACCTTCGTCAAGTTGAGACGGAGACGAAGACGAAGTCCATGTACTTTTCGGGTGACCATTGAGACCATGGACCAGGACGATATCGACGGAGGCGTCAGGATGAGTGAAGACAGCGCTGATTTCGTAGCGTGCAACTTGCTTATTGATGGACCCCTGTGATGGTCAGTGCCAAGAGCCATACTTGTATGCATTCTGAAATATGTCGGCAACAAAAAGAGAGGGAGCGAGCTGACAGCCGAGAGAAGGACTAGGGGAAAGGGGAGTGGGATGAGGATGAGGAAGAGGAAGAAGGTGTAACAAGGATGCTGACGAGCATAGCGGCGGGCCGTTCCGTAACGCAAACAGGAGAATGAGATGAAAGCTTACCATACTTGCTTGCTCGAGCCCGAGTCAGCAGCAGGGGGTTCTTTAACGAATGCTTAATTTCTTGCCACTAATGCGGCTTGTTGTTCTACGATTTGCTGATGCTCATGGGCTTGGACTACCTTGTGCGGCTCAAAGTAGAGTCGGGGTTTGAAGGTGGAGGGACCGTCTTTATATTAGGGGACTCCTGCTACCTAGTCGCAGAAATCCCAAGCTGAGAGCCAAGATGAGGCGGATGAATATTGCGCGTCGAGTTGACCAAGTAGCGTCCAGCGCCTCGTTCTCAAGTCCTGGGAAGGCGGAGCGCCATAAGCAGGCTGCGAAAGTTAAATAACAGAGAAGGCAGACGGGTCGTGGACGTCCTGGTGATGGAGTGTAGCACGCCGGGCGAGTTGGTCACACTGGAACCGCGGTTCAGGCCGGTGGAGAAAGAAGAGAATAACGGAAAGAGAGAGAAGAGAAATCACGAGCCACATCGAACGCGGAGAGAACGCAAATGACGATCGAAGACAGGAAAGAAGAGACAAGACCCAATTTGAGGACTCAGGGGGTAGTGGTAGGCTTGAACATATGGAGGTTCCGCTGAATGGGTGTTTGGTTAGGACAAGTGCGTCGTGACGGATAATGGAACACCTGTTGTGAAGTGCCCCCTGCCAGGATGAGCTCGGGTGGTTAAATTAACCCCAGAATGCAACAGGGAAGGGGCAGTTTGGGCAGTTTGGGCAATTTGGGCAATTGGGGGGAAGGATTTGAAGATCCATTGGTGCCCTGGCCTTGCTAGTTGCTACGGATAGTGTACTTGGTAGTCACGTCGCGGCACATCATCTGCAGGTGCGAGATGGCCGGGGTCCTCCACTATCGATGCAACGACGCCTCACCCGCCTTCCGACTTTGAAGACACACCCACAAGTCCACAAGTACATGACACCCACGACACCCCAAGGAGGAGAAGGAGTAGGAAAAGAAGGGAGATGGGGTAACGAAGAAGGAACTTGGAGGGCGACAACGATGCCGCTAGAGACTTGCCGTTTTGAAACATACAAACGGCGCCACCGATTTCGTCTCTCTTTGATCTCTTGCCCTTTTGCTCTGCTCCTCTCCTTCTGTGTCTCTGACATACCTGTCTCTGTCCATCTCCATCCTTCCCGCAGCCCGCAGCAAAGCGAGAGACACTCGTTCGCCTCTGCGCTGTTTCTGTCATGTCGTTCAGACGCCTACGTGAGCAGCAACGACTTACAGCGCCTGTCGTGATAAGATGATAAAATGTTGACTCACCAGGCTTCGCTGAAGCTGAGCCACTGAGCGGCCCACCAATGAAGAGCGAATAAGGATACATGGAGTCCTACTTGGGGCGAAGAAATCATTGCCCTCGCTCTATGTTGATGCGCGAATGCGCTGCACACACTAGACTGGTCTGGTGACTCAAAGAGGAGCGGCAATATCGAAATAGTTCTCAAGCTCGTGCACCCACAATATCGTTGAGTTAAGGTACGGATATCCAGCCTAGCGCAAGCCACTGTTTTGTCTCTATGTAATCCATCCCGCCACTACCAGATATGCATTATGCAGCGCCGACACGGCCGCTTGTGCTCTTAGATTCGGTTACTAACACAGCACTGGCTGGGCATCTTGGCACATGTAACTTTAGTTTTGAACACACCCCAAAGCGGTTGAACCTCGAAAGAGGCTGCTTCGTGGGTGTGTTCCTGTGACACAATGCGACGCCTGCTATTCTCTGACTTTTTTTTTTTGACAGCCCGACGACATTGCAACATTGGTTTTTTGTTTCCCAGCTCTCAACAGACCTCACACGACTCTTTGCTCCATCAGGTACGACTCTCAAGCAACACGGGTTTAGTCGCATCACCTTTCATGGTCCCCAACGCCATCCGATGATACGGTGAAGAATAGGACAGCTGACCAGCGACAAGTGGATCTCCATCCGATTATCGTGAGTTCGTGACGCCGTCTTGACTCAGGACGGCGCCTACAAACTCTCAACGGCTGCCATCGGAACTAGTTCACGACGCCAATACTTGACTACTGCCCTAGCCAAAAGGGACAGCTACGGAAACTAAGACTTTCAGACCGCTCCTCTTGGCTTCATTACGAAATGCAAGTACCTGGTTCCCGTGTTCCCGTTGCAACCCTTTGACAAAGCCTCGTGTTATGTTGCTATTCCCGGGCTAGACATACAAATAGCCACAGATCAACTAGTACTGCAACCCAGGATACGGCTTTTTTTGCTTCGAAGCAACGAGATAGAATCCAAAGTGGTGGAAACCATGACAAATCGAAGGTTTGCATCCCCTCGCCCTCCTTGTGCCCCCATTTGTCCTGGCAGTTTAACTTACACCGACTGTTGAGTACCACAGAGTTTCCGTGCCTCGTAGCTGAATTCCCATCTCTTTCATCCGAACCACTATGAGACGAACATGTTCGTCAAGTGGTTGGCGATCTGGCGTTCACATCGGATCAGAGTTCAGCCTTGCTTGGGTCTGCCTAACAGACCACACATATATGCAGTCCTTCAGATCTTCCGAGGTGACTATTCGCCTTACGAACTTCGCCACGGTGTCACGGTTCTAAAGAATGAGCGTCAACGATGCAACACGTTGTGGTCCTCGACAGCTACCGAGGCATGAGCGTGAACGCCTCCAGTAGATCAAGGTTTGATGCTACGTCGATTGGGCTGCACAGAGCTTTGTGACGACGACTTTACCGTCGTCTGGAGTGGAAGAGCGGTGATTACCCGTTTATCTTCCAAAAAGACGAAACCAGAATACCGTTGAGTCACGTTACAGTCACGACGCCAAAAAAGACTTCTTCGCAGGCGCACGAGTGTGCGAGCTGTGCACGATCCCGACAGTCTGGATAAGCCATCAAGGTTTGGGTATGAGCTCGTGCTACGGACGACTCGGAAAGTTGGCTGAGGCAACATGACACGAAACTCTGAATTGGCGAGATCGCGGAGGCAGCGGCTGGAATGGGGCATCACGCTCCTGAGCCACTTCAGAAATTCCACAAGTCAAGATCCGAAAAAAGCTAGGCAAAGGAGGCATGTGCTAGAGCAAATAAGAGATACTTTCACATGAAATCACTGCTGTTACATTCGCTGAACTTCCAAGCTATTTGACGCCTTACACAAAGTCCGTATGGCATCCAATATTGTACCCTTTCTCTAGCAACTTACCAGACCAAGTACCCACCACCATTCACCTACCATACTCAGTTCACAATGGACCAAACAAACATCAACCAGAAAACCAACACACCTGTAATTACACCCGTGCTCACAACTCCTCTCTTCCCAGCAGCACCCGACTTCGCAGGCACAGGCGGCGCCCAAAAGTAACCCGCCTCGCCCTGCTCCCCAGAACCGTAAATAGCCCACTGCACATCAACATGGTTCTCCCTATTCGCCCAGCAATGCATCATCCCGCTCGCGCCCGTCTGCCCGCTCACATTGTAATCCCGCACGGCGGTGCGCACCACCTCCGCGACGTCCACGCCGCCGACGTACCAGCCCGTCTCGATGGCCGGGAGCGCGTCCGCGTACGGCGGGCGGATGCCAAAGTTGCAGGTGCCGTGGGTGCGGATGCCGAGGATGGTGGTGTTGTCGGTGAAGCCGCGGGCGTACCAGACGTAGCGCTCTTTTGCTGCCTCGTCGGCGAGGAGGAGGCAGTCTGTTGTTTGGGGGGATGTAGAGCGGGTTATGCCTACGAAGGAGGAGGCGCCGCAGATCTCGTCTTCGTAGCGGCGGTTGCCGCGGAAGAAGAAAGGGCCGATTGGGGGGGAGGAGGGATCTGTTGTTTGGAGGTTGGAGATGTCGTTGATGTTGTCGTTGATGCTGTTGTCCGGGGGGGATGAGGATGGTGGAGGGGGAGGTGGGATGTGGTAGGTTACGTTTGTGCTGTTTGGGTGGTTTAGGAAAGGGGGGATGTAAAATGTCAATGCTGGTGTGATGCTGGCGAGGGTGAGGAGGATGACGGGGAGGGATATTAGTCTGGTCATCTTTGTGGTGGAAGCTTACCTAGACTTCGGGATGAGGTGTGATAATTTATCTGGTGTGTGAGAGCAGGAGTGAAAGAATTGTGCTCGTTAGTTGGGGTTGGTGACTTACAACTTTGATGATGTGTTAATGGCTAAGTGTGTTCGAGGAGATGGTGTATTGCTGTGGAGTGTTTGTGTTTGCTGTCTGATCTGCCGAAAGGAGAACGAGATGGAGACCTCGGACAAGACTGTTGATTATGTATACCCGCCTTCAGGCAGTTTCGTGGGACAGCCTCAAGCTCATTGTGAACGGACAAGGGCCAAGAAGAAAGGGTTATTGTTTGATTTCAGACAAGAGGCTGAGCAGCTATCACGTATAAAGAAAGACAAGTCCATTGTGAAGTTGGCGCAAACGATATAGTTTTCGAGTCGAGAATAATACTTTACAACGGAGGTTCTACATCAAAGAACGCTAATATCGGACTAACTTTTTCTCGTCGGCATGAGATGTTGGACATAGAACATTGTCATGAATGGCTTCGAGACTAGCTTCGAATGTCTCAACGCCACAAACAGGGCGCAACGGTAACGTTTCAAACATCGATAGAACACAGGTAGAAGACACATTTGCTTGCTTATCAACGTGTTGATTGCATTGAGCGATTGACCGCGTTGAAGCAGTCAGCTACCTAAAATATGGCCGCAGTTGAGAACGCCACCCCCAACTCCCG